GTGGACTGCTACTTTTTCGCATGCTGTAATCCAAGTGGCCTATCATGTGGAACGATCATTGCAAGTTCTTCAACCATTAAATTTTTTGTCTTGAGGTGATTTTGAATTGATCACTTGCCTAGTTTGCGCATAATTTCACATCGAATTGTATTATTGGCAAATTGCATTAGGTGTATGGAGAAATCAACTGCAATATAAACCAACTGAAATGCCTTTTTGCGACCATGAATGGCTGCTGTTCTACAGCCTGGCTGTGCCCGCTTGCGGCGTAGGTAGCAGCACTTGTGGGGGGGAAATTTACCTAGCTATAATGGGAGAACTCTTAAATGTTTATTTTTCTGTTTTGGAGCATTTTCTGTATGTGCCTTAATCTGCCAGCTAGACTGTATGTCAGCTTCTAGGAATTAAATTGGTGTATGCAAACTTCAAATATTCGTTTGGTTACTTAAGGTATACATGTTTTGATTCGTTTCTGCTTTGATCACTTTGGCGCCTAAGTAAGCGGTACATAAATAGAATTGCTCCAATTGCCTGAGATATTCATTGCCTGAAAAGCACTCTTCTTGCATTGTAATCCATCAATGAATTCCGGATCGTTATTGGGGTTCAATGCATTGACCGCAGTGCACCACTTTCTAATATACTACTGAGTTATTTTTTAAATTCTTAGGGCTTTTCAATTTGCCCATGTCACGCACTTCGACATATTTCCAAGATGAGTTGCCTAAAAGCAGGGATAATCTGGTAATAAGGGATCATGAATTGCTGCAATAAACTTGTACTTCCGCTGCAGGCGATTTGATGTGGTTTGCCACTACTGATTGGGTGCTTTTTCATTAGCATCATGACCATTTTATATCCATTTACAAAATAACAAAACCGAATAAAGAAAAAGGACTAAAGCAAACCGACGTTTGAATTGTTCGGCTTTTTGGCTGCTCGGGCTCTTCAGGTAAGTTTGACTTTCTTTCAGCAGCATGACTTGCCGGCTGTGTTGATAGCTTATTGCAACTGGAGGGTTCATCCCGGGAGCTGAATTGGTGGCAATGGTAAGCGAATTTGGCCAAAACGGACGATCGTCCCGATTCCTGTGGCCCATTGTCAGATCCTAACATCACAGGGGAATGGCTGCTGCAGACGACTGAATCTGAGAAGGCGCCGAACGGAATGATTGCGGTGGGCGTGGCCTACCTTCGGTAAGCGCTTCAATTTCGTGTTTAGCGGGAAAGCTATTAGCAGTAGGTGTGAGGTCAGACTCG